TATGCTCTACGATTTCATTACAAAGGCAACTGCTTCATGATTGCCCAAACAAATCCAAATGTGCATGCCCCAAGACCACAATTTGCTTTAGTCCGCTTGTTTCTGAATGTACAAAATTTATTTACTTAACAGTTATACAATGTTATACAAATATAACATTTTCCTGTACACAAAGCAGAAATATCTTTCATTTATTATACTTTTAATTATTTCCTCCGTTGTTATGTGTCTTTCCAATCGCCTTCTTTTAATTGTTTCACTTTCAAAATTTTGTTAATACCGTTCATCCTAGTAATAGCTGGTCTTCCCCTCTTTCTCTTTCCTTTGGCATCCACTCTAAAACCCAGCAAAGAACTCGCTAATTAAATAATTGTAACAATACAAACTCGTCAGAAATGATCGATAACTGCATACAGCCACCTCAACACTAGAATATACCCATATCATTGTTGGCTTTAGATCACGCTTTGACCATCTATTCCGTCAAATTACCAATCAGAGCATTTTCGTTAGTCCCAGTAGGAGAGGAAACAAACAAGAGCGGGAGATGACACGAAGGTCAGAGGTTGGCGGAGGCCAAGGGCGAGAGGCAGACGGTGGCAAGATGCACCGCGATCAATATGCGCGAGTCAGCACAATGGCCGCGTGCTCCCTCCGCGCGGCGCAGCCGTCTGGGAGGGGAACGCAGGGCTGCGGGGGCACGAGCTTCGCCTCCCTTCCGCTTCCGCTTCACGGACGCACGCCGTTGCGCATTCTCGAAACTCACGAGCGCCTGAGGGACGGAATGTATGCGACAAAAACATTTTGTCAAACTAATTCGTTCAATTTCGAACCTTGCATTAAGAAACAAAAATATACTGAAATGCATTAACAGCAACATTCAACGAAAAACTTTAGTGTACTAGGAAGAATCTTAAACGAAATTTGACAATAAAACATCTTGGCATTGGGAGAAACTTCAAAATATTTTGTCAGTTGTAATTGGGTAAAGAAATTGCAATAACTTTCGGAAAGAGGTACCATCGAAAGGATACCACTTTCCAAATATGGTGTCAGGTGTGTTTCGTGCGCGGCTAACCTCGCTGATAAATGATATAGTAATAATATAATTAATTCTGTTCGTAACGTTTTCCCCTGTTGATATATGTAGATTTAAGAGAAAAAGAAGCGAAAAACACGGAGCCTCGTCTCATTGCACAATGTACGTCATAAATCCGATATAGGATGGGGTTAATACCACCATTACCAAAACTAATATAAAAACACTACTCTTGTGATAAGTATATATACGTCGGTATATGGGGAAGTCGGTAGCATTACGTCAGCGTTTTCCAGGCGAATACCGAAGCGATATCCTAACAAACGGGTTAAACACCGCCCACGATCTTTCCTTCCTGGTCCTTGTCTCATTCTCTCCTCTTACACATACTGAAATGCATTACCCCAACAAACATACTGGTAGACTAGTCAAGAGTTTTGTGTTTGGCTGGAGCAGTGCACAGATCCTTGCGGGGAGGTACCTAGAGAGGGAAGCCCGCAAGCCAGCGCACAGATTGTAGCGGGATTTCATGCGTTCCAGTGTGTGTATGTGTGTGTGTGTGTGTGGGGGGGGTGAGGCAAAGTGGCATCCCGAGTTACAACTACACTTACAAGACTAATGATCTAACCAGCTGTTGCACTCAAAACCAATAAATACTCACTTCTCGCTCCCCCCCCCCCCCAATGTTTATGCATTTCAACGCCACTCGAAAACGCGGGCTGGCGGGGAGCCTCTCCGCGGAAGAGCGTGGCGCGGATGGGTCTTGGGGCTGAACCCCCACCGCATCGCTTTCACGTCTTCATGCCCGCACGTACTCCTACGCCGTCACCTACCACATTAAAAGAGCAAATATCGACTACTTTCCCTTTGAGAAACTCGCGTCTGTCGGAAACAGCCTGCACACACGTGGGCGGTGTCGCGGGCAGGCGAACGCGCCCCGGCCCTTCTTGACCACGTGCAGCCAGGGGCAGAAACAGCACCGCATTTGTACGTGCAATAGAGCGGGAATTCCTAAACATTTACTTGCGTCGCCTCCTTAGAAATTTTAATCATCGACTCCTTACATTTTTACTTTCTCGTATACGTACGTACTATGTACGGAATATAAAGTTGTGTAACGCTTCGGAAAATCGATTTCGAGATTTTATCGTAAATACACTTTAGTTACAATATTTTTTAGAGACTTTAATTAAAACATTTTTTTACAACAAACTACCGTCTGTGAACATTACTACAACCTAAACTGTTAGTAGCATTTTTCTCCAAAATGAATATACCCTGAGCGCTCTGGTCCTGCGATTTTGAAAACAATTATTTGTAAATATGCAGAAATAAAAAAAATCCAAACATACATTATGCATGAACTTATCCGAACAAATACCTTTATACCCGGAAAAACTATGCATTTTTAAAATGAATTTGCCAAGAAAGATATAATTACAGTTTTGAAGCTCTACGAAGCTTAAATAAAAACAAGACTTTGTATGTAAATCCAGTCTATAGTAACAAGTTTCACAAGTGCTGACTGAGATGTGTTAATATGGACAGAAATTATGGTATTATATATGTGGTACGTGCTGATGTATCACTACTATTTTAAATTGAAGCTCCCAATTTGAAAGTGGTGCTCCCGCTCCCAAGTAACCATGGATCAAGAAATACAAATAGAAGAGAATAGATACAATATGTTAACAAAAGTTTGAAAAAACCTGGTCAGTGAATTTATGTTTCTTTATTTGGTGCTATTATCGTTTTTAGTTTTATAAAATTAAACATGTTTTCTGCAACAAAACTGCATTTCAGAATGGCACAAAAACTCAATTTTTATTAACGGTAATGATGCCCAATTGCAAAAGATGTAACAAATAAACAAAGTGCTTATTTGCAGTGTAAAGATAGGATTTTATAATTACTGTAGAACTGAACAACTAATTATTGAAACAAGTTGTCGAAATGAAACGTTCATTGCACTGGTAACTACGGTGTATACGAACGTATCACATGTTTATGTAGCAGTAATTTTCCCTTAGAAGAATTTACAAAATCGGTCATCATCTTTTGCTGTAAGGAACAGAATCTTCTTGATGATACGATGTGATGATGCGATCGCTATGCTACGTCACCATTTTCTCACATCGCACACTACGATGCATTATTTGGTAATCCTATAGATGCATTTGATAAACGGTACTTTTTTTCGGATAATCCGAACATTTCCGAATCCGAATCACCCACCACTTAGTTCGGATTACTGGGCTTCTACTGGAGTAACAAACTACATCTAGTACCCCACAGATTAGAAATGTTTATGGGCGACAAAGTCTTAAATACTTTAATAATTTACGTAAGGAGTTACTTTTCATCATTTAGGATTTATTTTGAGGTCCGCTGTGTTCACCTCTTATTGGTATTCTACGCGCATCGAAATACGCGTATTGTAGGAACGCGACGAAGAGCGTAACGCAGTCACAACCTATCAGCTACAGACTGAGATATAAACTTCTAAGATCTGGGTGATAAAAAAATACTTTATGTTCGTGACCTGCAGCAGCAAAAATGCTGCAGAACAAATCAAATTCACACAAAATTGTTTTTCCAAAAGTAACATTCACACATACACACACTTCAAGAACAACAATCAAAACACACTTGTATAACACTGCAATGAATTACATATTTTAACAAAAAATTTCTTCACGCTTACTGCAACAGTATGAACATACAACAGTTTTTTACATACCAAATCATTTCCAACACACCAAGTACACAAAGGAAGATGCTTTTCCATAATGCACTACGTGAATAGCAAAAATGTAATGGCAGGGGCATCTTTCTTGAAACTTTACTGCCGCATGACGGCAGCTGTATTGTAAGGAGTTGGTATGAGAATGGGCGGAATAACACCATCAAAAAATGCCCTATTCAATCGAGAATTGAAAGGTTTTAGTGTTTGTATTATTCCCGATCCTGGGATTCTATCGAAACCATTGACACATCTCACCTCGGAAGATGCAAAGTGTTCTTGCAATTTCTGCGCGGGAATCCTCCTGGAAATTGGCCATTATTCTGCCCCACTCTATGAAATTACCACCAATTTGTAACAGAGTCAACTGCATGATCAATGTAAATACAATATTTTAAAAAATATTTAAATGCATTGAATTTCTTTTCCACAGACCAACCTCAATCCTTCTAATGTTCGTGATTACAATTGGTCCGTCGACAAATATTTTATAATGTACCCCACAAACTAGAAATGTTTATGAGCGACACTATCAAGGAAACTAAAAGAATGTCTTACGATTATAAAGTTATCGATGCCATTAAACAAGATTGAACACGCCTAGTAGTGGCTAAGTACGGGGATGTTGTGCCAGACGTTTGGCGGCGCAGGTGGCCGGCCGGAGGTGGGGCAAGCTTGTGCTGACTGAACGCCACAATCCTAAATGTCGCGAATTCCATTCTCGCATGAATGATTGCTCATTAAATACAGATACATCAACGCGATACAGTCGAGAAACTCTGACCTCATTACTGATGTCCACAATGCCGTGGTAATATTCGTACACATACGAAATGTTCACTGACTGTCAAGGAAACCATCATTCATTGCAACACACTGGAGAAAATCGTACGTCAGATTTCTATGTACTCTTTTTGTTTAGCAATGATGTTCAGCATGCTCAAAATACATTCACGTCCTAAAATCTTTATTCTATTCCTACATAGTGTAGTTTCCGAATATTCGTTGTTTCAAGCTATAGTCGATAATCCGACGGATAACAATGAAAATGCCACTGCAGCAGACTGCGTCAGAGAAGTCGCTTATTTGGGAGTCGCGAACGGAATATAGGTGTCTTGAAAATTATGCCATCAATTGGCATAGAGATGCAAGATGTTAATTTGAAATTATGTTTAATTTTAGGAAATGTACAAATACTTTTGAAACTGAAAAGAAAAGATAAAAAAAAAAAAAAAAAGAAGAAGAAGAAGAAGAAGAAGAAGAAGAAGAAGAAATGAACTGGGGAAGTAAGAACAACACCTTATATCCTGTTCCTGAAACCGATAAAACGCTGAATTCTTTATCAAGCAATCTCACATCAAAATAATCTCTCTCCAATATAAAAGTTCCATTGCGAAGGATCGCGTTGAAACCAAGCCTCCTCGAAGTAGAGAGTATCTTCAATATACACTTGCTCATCTCGCCGCTGACGAAACACGCACGAAAGCAAGCGTTGGCGCGCCAGCACGTGGCCAGCGCTCCGGGAAAGCGCGCGGACAGGACCCGCAGCACCGCCGCCGCCGCCGCGACGGCGGATTGAGAAACCGCGCGCCCCGAGGGAAAGCGGCGGCGGCGGTGGCCGCGGGCGGCGAACCTGGGCCCCCGGAAAGGCCGAGGAATGCGGCGGCAGCAGCAGAGGAGGTGGTGGTGGTGGTGGTGGTGGTG